CCTCAATAATGCAGCAAAAATCGTGAACTTGGAGACTGTGTTTTCTTGGAATATTTGTAAACAGAGATGAATTGTTTTAAAACTTAAACTTAATGACCTTTGCTAAGATTTCAAATTTAAAAGGTACTGATTTAATTTGAAGGCTCCAAAATTGTAATCCACCTACAATACAATTTTTTTTTGGTTTTATTGAAGTTTTTTTTTACAATTAATAGACCTATTTAAACAAATTTGCTTGAAAATGAAACCAAAGGATTTTTGCACGAAAGCAGTTTGAAATAATTTGCTTCAGAGGCCGTAGCAAGTAATGCTCTAGTTAGTGAAACTTCTATATTTTCGTTATACGTGTGCGGTCTCGGCGCCGAAACACAAAGGGACACGTTAGCAACTCTGCGGACGCTCTATCGTTGCAAAAGGCGCGCGCGAGAGAGAAAGAGCAAAGAGCAAAGCAACGTCCATAAATCATGAAACTGCTCTCTGTGTGGCTCTCATTGCGCGCACTAATTACCTCTTCTCGGGTCTCTGCTTTCTCTCGCCGGACGATGATTGTTATTTGCAACTCGCGCCACGACCCATTCTTCCCGTTGCGTCCGTCGGGATTAATTACCTGCTGCTCTGCCCCCGCCCGGACAAAGTTTTGTTTCAATCGACTCTCTCTCTCTCTGCTACCAGCAAACAAACTTTGCAAAACACAAACAAGCTGCCGGTTTTCTTCCCAGCTCTTTTCCGCTCGTGTTTTATTCAAAAAGCAGCGCCGGTTGTAATTCCGCACTAGCTGCAGCCACGCCATGCTTTCTTTTTCCGCGCACACGACTTTGATTATTGCGTTAGGGCGACGGCAAATATGAAAAAGCAGCAGTAAGAAAAGGAAAAGGAAAGGCGGCAGTTTGGCAAAATGCCGACAACTCAGTGTAATTAGCCTCGTCGTCTCTCTATACGCACACACAGAGGCAAAACGACTGCATGTTTTTGCAGCGCAAGAGGAATAAACTTAAATGAACGGATGCTTTTGAGGCTCATTTTAAACATAAAGCGAATTAACCAAATTTTACTGTCTATGGCTGAGTAACAAATGTTTAATTTCTTTAATAAGTTTAACTAGACAATATTTTCTTATTTATTTGGCATAAATTCCCTTGAATTTATATGGAGCATATTCTGAAGTTTACTAAAATAGTTGTTAATTTTTTTTTTCAAATTAAAAAAAAGAAACTTATGCAGGACTTGCCTTAGTTTAAATTCACAGAATTTAATTTTAAAGAGAGGAAACATAAAAACAATAAGTCTCCAGCTATGTCAGAAATTCTAAACTTTAAAAAAAAACATGCAAAAATCCATTTTTTATTTGACGATTCAAAAGCTTTAAAAATTACCATGACCAGAGATATTGTTTAGGTTTAATTAATTGATGTCAATAAAACTTATTTTACATTTTGTAAAAAAAAATCCACATATACATAGTAGGAAAACCATGATAAAAAATGCGCTCAAATTATACACAGTGTCCAATCAAAATATCAAACAAAAATCTTTATTTAAAGTATAATTAACAAAGAAAAGGCACTGCAAGTTTTCATTTAATTAAAATAATTTATATTAACAAAAAGCAGCCGCTGGTTAATAATATAATGTGTAAAACGGTAATTTTAATCGCTCTCAATCTTAAATTTTTCTTGAGATGTATATTAATAACTTAAAATTAAATTTTGCATAATATATAAATATTTTTATAATTATATAAATAATTATTGTTGTTTATTTGTCCACATTGTTAAAAATACATTGTTTCTATACAAAGTCTCTATCCTAAATTATAATTTTTTTTTTGATAAATTTTACTTGCTCAAAAAATTGAAGCAATTAGAATGAGAAAAACAAAAATATACCAAATTTTATTTACTTGCTCTTTTTTGGCAATTTCTTGAAACTTGGTTTTGTAGAAAAATCATCAGTAGTAAAAGAAAATTACTCCCAGTAATTCAGACCTAAGACGAAGTGTATATAATAAGAAGCAGTCATTCGTTACTTGGGCAAAATGTACTTTACCCTTTTGGGGGAAAAAATAAAAGTACTACACTTGACCAAGCAGAGCGAAGAGCTCCATTTCTCTGCTGGCTGCAGAGGAAATTGTACTCAATTTTGAAGAGCAGCGCGGCCGAAATTCGCCTCATCTGCCACGGGCAGGGTAAAACAAATGAAATGACAGGCCACTTCACTCGGCGGCGTTAACCCGTCCGTGTGCCCCTGTCTGGCACCATGCCCAGCTAGGTTCGTCCAAAATTTGACTACAAGCAGAGCGACGCGGCCTGTCTAGCCGCAGCGCGCAGCCTTTGCCCTTTTCGCTGCTAGGGGCCCCTGCGGAGAAGAGTCGCATGCCCACACATTAGCACGCCATTTCCATGCAGATCTGCTTACCAGCAAACAGATTTCGCTTGAAAATTTCATGGCTCATAATTCCGACGCCGCCGCCACATGCTCGACACCAAAGGGGCTTTTATCAGCGGCAGGCCAAACGTCCCACTTTGGGCTTTGAATTGCGCCTGCACGAATTATCATGTAATTTGCCTTGCCTCTGAATCTGCACCATAAAAACTCCATATTATGCTACACAGAAATTAAATTTAGTTCCAAAATTTAAAATTTTAGGTTTCTGTTTTGCACAAATATAAATAGCAATACTCAAAATTGTATAAACATTGGAAGAAAAATTTAAATCAGTTGGTTCTATGGTTTGAGTTTTTTTACTGAATAAAATATAATTAAGTTTTTTCTAGGAAAAACAATTATTTTTATAAACGATTCGTGAAGAGCTCAGAAGACATTTGCTCTGGAAAGTTTACTCTTTTGTTTTTATTGTTTTTCCTTCTTTCTATTGCAGTCAAAACCCGTTGTGATTAAATAAATATTTAAATAATTTTAAAATAAGATTATTTTCATCAAACAGTATATTATTCTGTTTTTAAATTTACAGCTAATTTGAACTATAAAGAAAATATCAATTTGATGCAAATAAAATGACTTCATTCAATCTTTAAAAAAACAGCAAGCGTTTTAAATTGACTCTGAGCCGCTCATTCTGCCCTAATATTTGTTAAGCGTGCTCCTGATCTCTACGAAACTTTCATTGGACGTGACTGGGTTGTGTGCCTTGATTTCGCCGAAGATCCCCTCAAATGATTTTTCTTTGAAAATGAATAAGGAGGCGGAATTCTTTGAAAAAATGAGATGGTTGAGAGTTTTGAAGAAATTTAGCCAGGGCGTGTATTAAAACTTTGAACAAAGTCTGAAAGTTGACGCGCAGGGTCTGGAAAAAGGAATTTTAATACTGGAGAAGGAAAACGCAAAATTTGCATTTTTACAATAAAACCCGCGTTTACAGCCGCTTGCATATAAAATGGGTCGGGGGTTTTTGATGCCGTTTTACAACCGGTTTACTGTTGACACTTCACCTATTATAATCTGCCGAGAGCAAATAACAACACGGCGGCGTGTGCGAAACGACCGGCGGCGGACCCTCTCAGCATTTTTTCGCCTTTCTTTCCTGATAAATATTTTATTCGCGCTGCTGTTGGATGATGGCGGAAATAATGTCTTTCTAATGCAGCAACAGCCGTGGTTGTGCGCCGGCCAAATTTTTATACCGCCTCTTTTATGGGCCGAAGATAAAAGTCGAGGCAACTTTTTACTCTCATTCCCAGATAAAAATTATACTTTACGACCGATATAACCCACTTGGCGGCCCTGGGCGAAAAAGTGCAAAAAAGCCGAAATACCGTCAGCTTTAGACACTTTTCACTTAAACTTTTACACTAACTCACTTGATACATCATTGAAAAATTTCAACCATATATTTGGCATTAATTTAAGAGATCTGCTAAAAAAAATTGTGATAACTTTGTGTAAGTTTTGTTTTAAAAAAAGGCGAATTATCAGAAATTTTGTCAAATAAAGAGACAATTGATGGCCTGTATTTATTTCATTTTAATCAGCATTTATGGGTAATCAGTAGATTTGCGTTTGCGTTGGTGTGGCTTTCATGCATTAAGAAAAAAGTATGTATAGATTTCTTATCTTTTCGTTAATTTTTTCAACATTAAGAGTAAATTTTTTTGCCTATTTTTCTGATTTATATTCAATATTTAATTATATTCACATTAAAACGACGGTAGATATAGCTGGCCCAACAGATCTGAGCCTATGTAACTGATCACTTTGACACGCCAATTCACCCTCGAATGAACTTTTGTGCTGTTTTTTTTATTTATACCTAAAAAATATTATTTATGTGTAGAGAATAAAAAGAATTATCCACCTTGATTCAAAACAAGATTTAAATTAAGTAAAAACATTAAGCCCCTCTGTCAAGAATAAAAATTTGAAATACATATACGTACAAAATTTTAGCTGGACATCCTCCTGTGCCGTACCAGCGCATCTGCCCTAGCTGTGACCGAAAAGTGGTGACCAAAGTCTATTATCACCCAAACGCCAAGACTCACTTCATTGCCACCATTCTGTGTTGCGCGTAAATATTTCGTTTTTATTAGCGTCAAGCAAATAAATCAAATTTGGAAATCGCAGTTGCTGCTTGATTGCCTGCGTACCCTACTGCAGGGATGATTGCAAAGAGCCGCACCACTTCTGCTCTCATTGTGGAGCTTACTTGGGTCACGCTGCTTTCTAGCTCATACTGCTTTTTCCCACCGTCATCCATTTGAAAAAACAAAAATATGTAATGCAAATTCCACTGACACATTTTTTTAGTTATATACGATCAATTAAAAATTAATTTGACATCTCAATAAATTATTATATTTGTTATACTTTCGGCTTTGTACAGATCAGAAACATAGTTATTAATCAAAGAAAATTAGAGGTTAAAGCAAATTGCAACAGAACTTAGACTGAAGGGAGGTTGAATATTTGATAAAAAGAATTAACAGATACGAGGTTAATTTTTTATTCCCCCTATGGTTATAATCCAAGTTTCATGGTATTCATCTTGAGAAATTGCATTGACAAGAATGCAAAATGCCTATATTTCATAGTCAAAAAATATTCATGTTACAATAACTTGTAAAAAATTTAAATTCTTACTTAGAATAGATTAATTTATTATTATTTATTCTTCTCGGTCTGTACAAAAGTTTTTAAATTGGAGAATAATACAAAACATGATAATTGATAAATTACAACAACTCACTGAAACTCGTAGCCGAGTATTTACCAAGAGGCAATAAATACCCGAATACTTGCCGCACTGCAGCCTAAACTACGGGGAAAATTTTTTCAAATTTGTTTTACACGCTCTTTGCACAATTTTGGAAAATCATATGACGCACACGATTTTAACACAGAAGGGAGGGAATTCCATTGGGATGCGAGGCAAAAGCGAAATGAGTAGAGGCGCACTTTCGGAGGAACGAGCCGGTGGTGCTCTTCGTCATTATTACTGTCTTTTATCTTGCAGCCGGTCTTGATTCGCGCCATCGCGTCCATGTCAGTGTCTCCGTCCAGAAATTTTCAGAAGAAAGTCAAGTCATTGTATTTAGGCTGCTGCTGGACAGTGAGCAACTCGGTCTTGGCCGCCTCGGAAATGTGCCGCCCGTGCACAAACCGAAGGGCTCTATTTTGAACTCTCTCAAATTTTTATCTTTCTTTCAGCTTTCTTTAGAGATATAATATTTTTAGATTACCAATTGACTAAAAAATTTATTTAACTTCTTAATTATACATTGTTACTTTTGCATGATGCGTTATAATAGATTTTAGTATGCTGTTTCACATCATGTAGACTGACGTAGACAAAGAATTGTGCATCATGTTCACACCATGAACAGTATTCATATGCAATTTCAAGTCGAGCATTTCCCTTTTGCATATTTTACATTTCATTTTCTTTCTTATGTGAGCTGCGTCAAAGTGACGTTTCAAATTTGAAGCAGTGTAGAATTTTCTTGGACATTTCTCACAACTGTAGCGCGTTTCAATCACTTTGTGCACAACTGCCAAGTGCTTTCCCATACTTGTTTTGTTTGATAACTGCCTACTGCAGTGAGCACATGTGAGGCTTTGATAATGGGGATTATGAACATTCTTCATGTGACTACTTAAAGAACCGCTACTGGAAAAATAATCAGTGCAAATTGTGCACTTAATTCCAAGGTTTAAGTATTTTAAAGCTCTTAATCTTTTAACATTGAAAATATGTTGTTTATGGATGTGATATTTCAAAGGTGATAAAGAATTGAAAACCTTAGGGCACAAGTCACAATAGTATTCGGGCCTGCATCCTTTGAGTTTGTGCTGTTCAAGCTGACCTCGACAATCAAATTCCGTTTTGCACTTAACACATGAAGGCTTTTTTAAATGAAAGAAAAAAAGTGAGGCAGATATTTGTAAATTGCAAACTTGACATTTCCTGAAAATATGAATTTTTTTTGTATGAGTCTGTAAGGCGTTTCTGGTAGTGAACTTTTTGGGACACTTTGAACACTTTAACATTTCAGCTTTTCTTTGGTGGAACTGAATCTCATGTTCAACGACAACAATTCTACTTTTGGACCTAAAATTGCAAACAGAGCATTGAAACTTTTTGCTTTCCTCAATGCTTTTATGTTTAGCTTCTATGTGAGGGGCCAATTCTGCCTCAGATTTGAAATAACTTGCGCATCCCTTAAAATGGCACTTAATGGCAACATCAGAATGCTTCAGCTTGACATGGTTCAGGAAGGTAAATCGTTTCATTGCTTTTAGTTGGCAATAAATGCAATCATAGAGTTCGTGTGATTTTGGCTTCATGTGGAATTCTTTCACATGGGACTCCCTCTCGCCAGTAGTTTTAAAGTAAGTGCAGCAATTTTTGTGATAATTGCACCGAATTGCAGTTTTTGAATGTTTAGATTTTATATGGAAAATCCAGCGTGATTTTCGCGCAAAGATTTGTCCACAATAACAGCATTCTATATTCAAAGTTTTTTGTAAATTATTTTCTGGAACATTTGTCACGGTACTTGCTCTTTCCTCACTTTCTTGATGTTGAGTCGCTTCCTCTAACTGAACTTTGGTCAATGGAATCCAACACTGTTTTACCTTTCCAGCTAAAATCATAATGTTGTGTTATTAACCTTGCTTATGTTAATTCAATAGCGAACTTTCTTGCACACCTTCATAACCTTTATAAAGAATCATGTCACAGGAATCAAGCTCTGGCCACCAGCGCGAATCCAAAGTTTTTTCTTTATTTTCCATCAGTCTGGCAACGCTTTCGTAATAATATCTGCGTTAAAAATATGTAATGAAAAATTTAGATTGGATAATTTAAAGTTAAAAACAAATTTTATAAATTGGTCCCTTAATTCTCTCTTCTATTATTCAAAATTGATAAATTGATTTGATCTTTTATATAAATTTATATCATGGATAATAAACTTGCAATAAATATAATGGACCAATTCTAACGACTGGAAACTTTATTATTAGTTTATTTTATGATTGATTAACTGACCTAGCATCCCACACGCAGAAGTAGCAAAAAAGGTCGTCATCCTTGACTTCGTATGCCAGATCAGTTTCTAGGAAATTTAACAACTTCTCCTTGTCCAATTCGGCCGCTCGGTGGCCACCGTCGGCCGCCGGCCGCTCGCAAAGTCTGCACAATTCAGCCCACATTGGTTTGTTCTGGTTTTATCATCAGCGAAAGCAAAATAAATCCGATATATCCGATTTTGTTTACAAAAATGCAGTTGTGCAGGTCCAGCGTTGGGTCCAGCTGCTCACACTTTCACTTGTTTTGAACCCCCAACAGCCCTGTGGGCGGGGCTTATTTTTTACCTGCAAAGGGCGCAAAAAGAGCACGTGGCCCAAGAGCACGTGGCAACTGGTATCATGTGAATCAAGTTTTTAATAAAAAGCGGTTCAAATGCAAGCATAGTTTTAGGATCACATACATTTTAGAGTTGAAAATTATTCTTATATTTTTCTACGTTCATAGTGTACTGCTATTTTTTTACACTTACCTTATTCTGTATACTTATTTATTATATAAAAGTGTTAATTTAGTTGCAAAGTGTCTTGATTAATTTTCATCGAACTGATTGTTATTGTAAAACATTTTTAATTGGGCTGAAAGGGCAAACTATTTTTTTTAAAAATTATTACTTCAGATGGAAAAGAGTTTGAATTCGTGTTTGACAATGTGACAAAAACATAAAAAAAATAGCTTATGTTGTTTGACCAAATTCCAACTTAATTTATCACACAAACATCAAAGCAACTATAAAATAAAAATTTCATTTCAAAAGCAACTTTAGAAAGTAAAAAAAATAATTTTTAGCTATTGTTATTATTATTTATTGATATTGATGTTTATTTGTCCTCAGAATGACAACAGATTTTTTTTTTTAATTTTTATGTATTTAATGTATTGAATTAAATTAAATTATTTTATTATTTATTTTATATGTTGATTCATTTGTTGTTGTTGTTTTTTTTTTGCAGTAATGTTTACCTGGTGTATTTTTTTTTATTTGATAGAATTTAAAAAAAAAAATCTTTCTAATACTGGTATACTGACATATCCAGCATGTTCTGAAAAGCAACAATTCTTTTTAAATAAAAATCACACAATCAGAGTAATGTATTCATAACAAAATGTGGACAAATTAATATAATAATAAGAAGAAATTTAATTATTTTTAATTTCTAGCAGCATATCATGAACCCTTGCACCAATCCATAGCAAATAATTAGCTGGTACAAACAAACATTTCCGTACGTCATCGAAATGCAAAGACGCGTTCGGCAAACACGCGCGAATGGTAGAGAGAAAGGAGCTCCATCCATCCTCATCTCGGGGATGAGATGAAAACGCAACCCCGCCAAAATTAGTCGGCTGCGAACGCATAGATAGGGTGCGAGAGCGACAGAAAACTATTTTCGTGGCCTGCGGGCGCACAACTCCATTCGCACATACGGATAACATCGCACACAAGCAAGCAGCGAGTTTGGTGCTGTTTTGTAAGAATTAGCCGGGGCTGGAGAACTGCAGCGTCCCCCAGGAGCAGCGCACGGAGAGGGTGGATGCCGCCTGAATGAGAATTGCGGCTAAATTGTAGTGTATTGCCCGCAGCTATACGTTCGTTCGGTTGATTCCCCGAAGAACACACAGAGAGAGCGAGAGGCCTATTATTTGGTGTGCCCATAGTTACTCCCGACGAGAAAAATCACTTTGCGCTCTCCGAACCGGGCGCTTATTTGGCCCGAATGTCTAATTCACCCCTGCGAGAGCTACACATGCGGCAAATTAACTTTTTTTACCTTTTTGTTAGACCGACTAAATGAAACTAGAGAGGCAGCTAGGAAGAATATAAATATACTCAAAATGAAGACAAAATACCAAATTTCCCAGATCTAATTTGTTATGAAATATCTGATAATTTTGTATTATCTGTTGAAAGGGTCCATTATATTAAAATCTACTTTTTCCTGAAATTAATGGTCCATTTCGATAGAAAAATAAAATATTCAGACAATATTTTAAAAACATTAGAAATACAAAAATGTACATTTTAATGTTAGATTAAATAAAATATAAAATAAAAATTTTGCAAAAAAAAAAATGATAAATAAATATTTCTTGCTTCATTTTTTTATATTTTTGTTTGCAAAAAAATAGTCTTTAATTTGAAACTTGGATTATAAAAAATGCGAAAAAGTAAATAATTATTTAATTACTCAATAAGCGTTCAAAAATTAATGAATTATTCAATACATTTTCAAAGGAACAGAAATTGAATTTAATTTAAATATTAATTTAATTAGCCTCAGGAGCATAATTATTTGCCTATCGCTTTGCCAAGGAAAAATTTTGTGTCTGCATGTGACACCGTGAGCTCCGAAAAGGACAAAAGATCTTCTCTCATCCTCTTGTGTTTTCTTTTCTGGGCACACCGCATGTGTCACGTGTGTGACTCTCCGCAGGAGTGTGTTTGTTGAAAGTCGAAGCACCAAAGGATTTTCATCAACGCAAGGAGGTGGTGTCACGTTCAAAAAAAAAAAAAAAAAAAGGAGCTGGGCTACACTAGACCAAAGTAGAAAATGCCGTAAGCAAAAATCTCGGGCTCACGTTTCGGCTGGCGAATTATTTTGAGGTCTCGCCTGAAAAGCGATACCCCATTCTGAAATTAAATTAACTAATTAAATTAACAGAGTTGCTGAGCAAAACAGAAGATTGTAAAAGAGACCAAAAAGATAGAGCAGGTTTGCTTCAAGGTTTTAAACTACTATAAAATAAAGATACACTCATATGGAAAGAAAACTTTTATTTTTATTTTTAGTGGTCTTGCGTCTTCACAGCTCACCTTATTAAAAAGCCACTATAAAAATTTTTTTAATTTATGAAGAAGTAATATTCATCCTGAATATTCCGGGTTTTCGATTTGCTGAAAATGATTAAATGAAATATGAATAATCAAAATATTTGCGTCAAAAATACTTTGCATAAAGTGCAGTTTCTCTTAACTTATGACATATTATAATAAAATAATATTAAAAAAATAATTACATTACAATTAAATCAGATTAGATAAGGAAAACGTTACAAATTATTAAATTAAAATTATTTGAATAAAATACTTTTTAATTAGTTAAAAAATATGTTTTAATTTTAAAGAAAAATAAAAACTGAAAATTGCATTACTTTGATCAGAACAATTAGAAACAAACTCTAAAAAGTAATAAATTTAATAAAATAATTAATTAATAGCTATAGACATTATTAAAAATGTAATGTCTAATATCACATTTTCTTTACGCATATTTTTTTTTTATATTTTAATCAGCCAACAATAGTTTGAGCTTGTTGGACTGGAATATCAGACGATTGGCTCCTCACAGTTCTCTCTGTGGAACACTTAATCAACTCTTGAGAGAATGCAATTGATCGCCGGCTCGTCTTGCCTGGGCAACGAGAGATAAATTACCTATTTTGAATTGAATTCAACCCTCTCTCTCTCTCTGGCTCTTCTCCTTGGACTAGCTCTCTCGCAAAGTGGTAATTTATTAGGAGAGAGACGCACGGTTTTGTATACGTTCTGCGACACATGAGTTATACGAGCCGTATTATTCAGTAGCGTGTCGACAGGAAGAAATTGTTGTTGTTGGTCATTATAATATCTCGTCCGCTGCAGCCATTGTTCCTCTATTCGAAGGGAAATGATAAGCTAGAGATGATGAGTTAAGATGGTGCCCCCGAAAGGACGAGAAGAAGTATTAATATAATTAGCAGAAAGAGAGAGAGAGAGGCACCGCCTTTTTAATTTGCATAATGAATTGTCCCGGGGGCCGCGGCTTAATTGCACCACACGGAAACCCGCTGCGGAAAAGAAGTGACGAATTTCGCAAAGTGCTGCGCGTCGCATCTTGAGGGGTCAGAACAAAAAGTTTTTTCGTTTCCTAACTCCGCTAATTTTATTAGTTTCACTTTTAGAATTCAGAAGTGTGGATTTTAATAACTTTTTTAAAAAAAAAAGGAAAAATGTTAAAGGAAATAAAACTATTATTAATTTGGATGCCTTAAAAATTAGATTCAAAGTTAATTTTCATCAGGGTATACTTTTTTACTACATATTTTCAAACAAATATAAGTATAGAATTAAAATTATTCAATTTATATTTACTAAAAAATACGTTAAAGACGTTGAAGCTAATAAATAATTAGTACAAGAAAAAATTGTTTAAATTTATAAAAGTTAGCCCTCTATAGTCTCAAATATTTAATATTCAGCATCATATTAAAGAATGAAAAAATATCTATGAAAAAAAAGACAAAATCTATGTTTCCAGCGGAGTAGATTACACAATTAACTGAGAAATGACACAAGACGTAATTTATTATTTGTTAAGATTTAATTATAAATTTCTTCAAAAATCAACAGAATTAAACGATTTTTTAGCTTATAATTTAAATATTTTTTATTTCGAATTTTAATTAAAAATCCATAATTATATTTAAAGAATTTATTAAACAAAAATTATTTTTAATTATTAAAAAAAAAACCATGAATAATCTACCGTTTAAAAAATAATATTCTTTTGTTATACACCAAGTTTGTGTTTGCCAAATACAAAATAATTGAATAAATCTTTGTTTGAAAATATTTTGAAATAACAAGCAAAAAACATAATTTCCTGTTGTGAAACTTTTATAAGCAGGATTTTCCCAATTACGCTGGACTTCAATTCCAGAACAGTGAGATCAAACTTTTGACTTTTGGTCCGTGTGCTTGGCGTAACTTTGCAATAAAATTTGCTCATTTGTCGGGTCGCTTTTAAACTACCCCTTTCTGGCTGGCAGCAGCACCATCTGTTTTCTTTTGACGTCTGTCGCTTTTAGCCTAATAAGAAGGCGCAGACAAGATCAGCAGACCCTCTAGTTAGGGACAAAAAGCCGAGGCAATCAGCCCGCCGACTACAAGCAAGTCTTCATTGCACACACACACACACTAGGGACAAAAAGCCGTGCGCGCGTCATGTTGTTGTTCGCTCGCTTTCATTGCAAATTGCGCAAAACATCATTTGCTGGCGCGATTAAAACGCAGAGCAAAAAGCGGGCCGACATTCTTTGCACGCGGAGAGAGAGACAATGCCGATTCATAAATTCGGACTAAAAAAATCATTGCGCCCATTAAAACCAGAGTACCGGACAAAAATAATGTACACACTCTGTGAAATCAAAACAAAATTGCAACATTCTGCCAGAGAGCTTTATTCTTTGCTGTTTGTTTGCTGCTGTGGGTGGAAAAAGTGAAAAATAATGTGCTGCCGACACGCAATTTTGCAAACAATCTCTCTGCGATGAAGAGAGAAAATCTCAGTAGAGTTCTTTTGAATTTACGTAAACTCTTTCTGCCGTGATGCCAGGTTTTCTTTTAATAAGAATAATAACTTTTTCTTGGAAAAAATCTGGAGCTGGAAGAATTTAGGAGAATTTTTCCTCTCACATATAACTTTGTTGTGGTTATAAATTATAAACTGAATTTTACTTCTTTTTAACACTTTTTAATCGCACTGAATATGATTGTTTGTTTCCGTCAAACTAATTTACAATAGTTTAAATTCCAAGTAACTGCAAAGGAAACAAAAAACGTAAGTATAAGTTTTTTAAGTAAAAAAAGGAGCTTTAACAGAAAATTTTAAATTAATTAATAAATTAAGAAAATTTAGCTTCTTCTTTCAGACCAGAAACGTAAATACGTATTGCTCATTTGATGCATATAAAGTTTATCAATTTATTTGACCAGTTATGAAAATAAATTAATAATACAATGATATGAGATTCCATTTAATTGTTTTGCCGTTTGAGCCATCATCAACACAATGGATGGGGAATTAATCTTGTTCTTTATTTTTCACAGCATGAAAATTATGATTTAAAATGATAAATATTTTTTTCAGAATATTATTGATGCATATTTTAGAATTAAAAAAAAAGAATAACTTACATTTTTAGCCATACATAAAATATTAGTTGATTTAATAATATTTCTTGCAATGAAAAAGTATTTTTATCAGTTATAGATTTTCATATCAGCACTTCTGCTTGTGCTTTGTGCACTGAATTTCTGAGAAAAGATAAGAGCATGCAAAATTTCTGTGAATTCATACGCTATTCAATTTCATCTTGGAATATTGAAATTTCATTTAACCGCGGGCGCACTTTTCTTATCAGCGCGTTAATTTTCGCAGCAGCAGAACATATTCATCTCTGCGCGAAATGTCTTTTTTTTTATCGCAAGCCGACGGCTTATTTTCTTCTCATGATATTAAAACTCGGCAGCTCTCAACGGCAGCTGCTGGGCTGTGAACAGGGAGCACTACCTGTGGAGAGGCTGATTTGCATGATATAATATTTATCGATTTAGGCATTATCGTTGGATGAATTATTTCCCCACTTGGGCCAAAATTTACGACGCACCTAATTAAAAATCGATCTCGCGAAGAAGGCAAGATGAAAAAGAAGAAGGGGGTATTTTATATTTTAATAAAAATCCGCAGACCTGCTTCATCCATCAAGTGACAAATAATAAATCCCGGCCGGCGGACAAAGGCAGCATTAAAGGCTCGACGATAATCAGCGCGGCGAAATTGAATTTGGCGCGGATCAATGCGCCCTTTGAGCGAGTTTTACCTCTTCGGTTTGTTTTCATCCCCCCTGTAATGCAGGAAAGTCGCAAAATCAATCAATCAGACGATTTTCTCCAGATTTAACCCCGTGTCGGGGAAAATGGTGTCGCTCGCAGCTTTTCTGGAAGCAAACGTTTTTCCAGAACGTGCCATGGAAAAGGGGTCGAAGGTCAGCCCGAGCGATGCTATCACCGTCGACACGGGGTGTTAACTCGCACAATTGGATTACAGGTCGGCTGAAGCCGTCGCGTCCTGAATGTCAATTATTTTATTTGCTGCTCACAGATGCATCGAGCGAGAAAAAAAATGCTGCACTGCTTTTACGACTCAATGGCGACCTCGTTTCGTTCTTTCTCCTTTTTTATGATGGATGAGCTATCTGCATTTCAAGAGCAGGTTCGGCCCTTGGCCGCCAGAATTGAATTTTTATTGCGGTCCTTTATGGCCCTGGGGACACCACATACAGACTTCTCTCAATTTAGGCCGCTTTACTACTGGTGTTTGATATTCATTCCTGCACTGTGCGGCCCTCCAGTGCGATTCTCCTTAAGTCGTTATTCACCAAAATTGGCTCTATCAGATATCAGAACCGAAATAGGTTTGGAAAATGTTGTTCTGCACCAAGTCTTATTGGATGTTCCAACATTCTAAATAAATTTGACTTGTGGTGACTTCTGAGAGCTTTAAGGGCAATCAAAATCTGCGAGCGTTGGATCGAAATTTTTCTCTCCGTTAGCAATGCAGAAATCTCTCGGAACGAATTTTGGATAATGGCAAAAAAAAAATTGTTTTAAATTATTGCAGTACAATATATGGATGTACAATATTTCTTTATTATTTATTTTTTTTTCTGCTAAAGACATGATAATAATTGAAATGGGAAAAATGAGCAGAAATGGTGGGTATCACTTCTAGCGGCTAAAACGCTCGCCATCGAAAGAGACGCTGCCGCAGCAGCGTATTCTTGTCCGCGTGTGTATGTTTCTTTTTAAGAAAGTAAGAAGTAAAATAATTGTTGCTGGGTTGCTTCTTTGAAGATTTAACACTATATTACAGTAAAATGTATGAAATATATGCGAAATTCATATTTTTCGCAAATACAAATTAAAAAAAAAAAAATAAGAAGTTGTATTAATTATTTAATGTTTCAACTCCAAAAGAAAACATATTATTCGCAACTTCCATTTTTTGAAATTAAAAATACGAAAGGCATATTTGGCGCAATTTTGTTTGAGGCCGTTGTTTTATTTATACATTATTGTCAATGGTTAAATTTAACCATGGTTATTGCGTAGAGTTGAAGCGTCTCACTGTTCTCCCATATTTTACTTAATTCTCGCAATGATGTGGGAAAATCACCAATAATTCAGCAATTCATCCAAGTGGAAGGAAAATTTACTTGAGGATTATTGTATTCAACTAGTTATTTGTATTTATTGGAGTTCTGAAAAGAGGAACCAAACTACCAGGACCAGGGGAGGGAGGAAAGAGGAGGGAGTCATAATAATGAAGCAGAGGAGTAAGGAAATGGGAAAGAACCAGAAACCAGAACTGTAAAGGAAACACCAGAATCCAGATTGATTTACAGAGTATGTAACATATTATATTATTTGCTCCACAGAGATTCCACATCAGTGCAATAGTTCATACCAGAACTGGAGCTCCTCGGGCACAGTGCGTCTTGAACGAATCTGCTGTAGTGTGTGTAGCAAAAGCAGCTTATACGAGGAAAAAGAGTAAGAATTTTAAAAGGAAAAATTTAATCAATATTATTAATTTTAATTCAACACAATATTTTTACACTTATTAATTAAACACTTCCTTTCTAATTATTATTTTGATATGATTAAAAATAAGTTAATAATTTTGATATAATTTTTTCACAGCTCCATTTAAAAATGTCACAAAATGGTAAAGCTGGCACTGAGCAGAAGATCAAGGATTTGGAGCAGCTGCAAATTTTGAATGATTCTAAGAAAATGATGACTTGGCTGGAAAGTGGTGAACACTACGACTGCACTTTTCTGGTTGGCAGCACCAAGGTATATAATTTTTAGCTATACCATTTTGAAATTTGGGAAATTCGATTAGTTTTTTTTTTTTTTTTTTTTTTTTTTTTTTTTTATTATTGCGCTTTTAAATTTGTCTTTTGAATAACCTTTTGTCAGTAGAACCGGTATTTTAATTTAAAAAAATCAAATTATATTACAGGAGAAACTTTTCAAGTGTCACCGTTTGACGCTTGCAGCAAAAAGCCCAGCACTGGAGCAAATACTCTTTGGTCACTTTGTGGAAGCTGGAAAAGGAGCCGATGATCCCATCTCAATGCCTGACGTCCAACCACCCATCTTTGAGGCTGTTTTGAAGTACGTAAAATATTAAAAATTTATCGTTTCATATATATATTATTAAAAAAACTTTAAAAACAGGTACTTCTATGGACGAGAAACTTCTGGTTTCTCAGAGAGCCTTGATAAAGCCATGGCCGTATTTGAGTTTGCTTCAAAGTGGCAGGTGCCTGTTTTGGACAAAGTAGCTGCCACTATGTGCTTCAGCTTTGATTTCTCAGCGGAAGACCTGCTCATCCTGCATCACATGTTCAGTTTGCATAGTTTTGAAGAAGAGGCCAAGGAAATCATGGCTGTAAGAATGCATTTCTCTTGTTAATACGAGAAATTTCCGTTTTTCCTCTTTAGATGATCTGCCTTCGAGGAAGTGAGGTGCTGAGGTCTTTGGCGATTGCAAACAAGGACACATTTTTGGAGATTTTAAGCAAGAAAAAGTGAATGTTTTCGGCGAGAAAGACTTTTACGATGCCCTCATCAGTTGGTGTGAAGCCCAAGGAGGTGAATCTAATGAGGGTGGAGCTGTTGACACCTCTATGATGAATTGTAAGGTCAGGGAAATGGTTCGAGGTTTTCTCTCGCTGGTTAGATTCAAAGCCTTCAATGACAGAGACTGCTCTCCTTTTATTGGTCAGGGAGAGATTTTTGCTATGCTGGTAGCCAGGCCTTTGTAGATTGCAGCTAGGTTACATCAAGGCAAGTAGTAATAAAACAAATGTCTGTGTGAGAACTTAGCAAGAGATTTAAACAATATTGTACCTATTATAATAAATGAAAATATATACTCATCATTCAAGTGACTTATTTTATTCTTAAAAAAAGGAATAGGTAACTGTATAAAAAATTTAATAAATTTAATTAAAAATTTAAATTTTTTTTATAGACAAAGAACAAAGTAATATAAAATTAATCTGGACAGATATAAAAATTAATTTTCTTAGAATAAATATTTGGAGTTGCCATTTACAGTTGTATCAGATAGTAGAATTGATTATAATATTATCATTGTTTATTCTTCACAAGTAGTCATACATGAAATCGAAAAAAAAATGTGAAGAAACGGCAGCACCTCTGGCGAACACGTCGATAAAACGCGAAGCCTCAAGAGAGGTCCGCGCCGAGATGGGCCGCAAGCTAATGTATTTAGATATTCCCTTGCATTCGGAAAGAGAAAAACGCTTTGCAGAGGATAATCGTACAAAACTGCATAAACCATAATGAATATCTGATTAAAACTCATACACCGTGCTAGCGCAGTCTGAAAAGGAACTAATTTCCCGGCACCGTTCATTTGTGAGGCGCTTCAAATTGCGGCCAGCAGCGATATTTCCAGCAGCTCTAGTTGCGCCGACCTTTTGCTCTCAGCAGCAGGTTTTTGATTTGCATACATTTGAATTACAAAAATATATAAAAAGAAAGAGCCGTCCATTCACCAAGCGTTTTCCGTATCAACAGCCGAGATTGGTTCTCCCCAATCGCGCTCTAATATATTCGGCCAATTATTCAATATTATGGAATGTGCAGTGCAGGCGGCAAAATTGGCTATTCCTCTCTGGTGTGGAATAAAAATCCGAGCTTTCTGTTGCTATTTCTTTTGAAATGCAAAATCCTCCACCGATTAATTTAAAACCGGCACCGTAATCAATCAAGTCGGTTTAGAAATTTTTTCCAAGTGAACAACAGCTTAAAAAAAACGACTAATTTCCATCCCGCTTGCGAGGAAAGCCACTTTTCAAATTAACAGCGCACGCAGACTGATAACAGCTTGTGACGACCCCTTGCGACGAGGATGGTCGGAGAGCAGCGGCTTTTTAAAATTTATTGCCCCTTTCTCTCGGCCGCTGCTTCAAATTTAATGAGAGGACCCACGGTGCTGATATATTATTTTGCACCAAACTCCTCGCCCTGCCTTGGCATACGCAGCGTTTTTCATTTTACTACAATGCGGAGAAACACGGCCGACCAGGGAGCGAAAGAGACCTGCCTGAGGGACCTTTGTTTCGGCTGATGACCCTCATCTCTGCTCACATCAAAAACCTAATTTGGAATGGCCAGTTCTTGAAATTTTTCATCAGGTCATGTATTATTCTCCCAGAGTATGGACATATTGCATTTTCAAAATAAAACTGACTAGGGAAACTTTAAATTTTATCAAGAATATTTTAGCAAATAAAATAAAGTGGAGAAATTCGTTTGTTTCCATGGCTTCCTTTCCGTGCAGTAAAAATGCAACCTGAACAACGTGCATGACAAGAAAGTTAACTGAAATCGCCATATATTTAAAGCGATCTATGCAATTCCTCAACATATGTGTCCAGCAGGTTGCATAATTAAAAGATTTGAACGAGGATTACGTTTAGACTTGTGAGCAAATGAATGTTACAAAAAGCAAGTAATTATTTCAATTTTTTTACATGAATAGGCATTGAAAAAATTTAAGGAAAAATAAATTTGGACTTTGTTTAGAATTACATGAATTTACATATTTTTAAGATTTTTTTTGGTAATTAGAGTCAATTTCAGAGAGGGAAATGAAATTCCACATAATGCGGCGTCTCCTTTTATGACGATGGCTTAAAAAATTGTAAAACTTTCTGAACAGTTCTTTACTTAAACTCTCAGCTCAACGTACTAATTATCAAGTGCTCTTAACAGCCGAATTTTATACAAGACCACGACTGTAAAATTTCCCTAATAAGGAGAGCAGCTCATTCAACCATAAAAGTTTGGCGCCAAGTGCCGAGCGGATTAGCCACAAAAAGATACTTTTTACTTTGCTAACATCTTTCTTTCGTTTTTTTTTTATTCCACACGACAAGAAGCAGAGAGTGACTTACAAATAGCGAACTTTTCGCGCCTTCTCACGAGCAGTTCGTAGCTCCACTTTGGCGCAATAAGGAACAGCACAATAGCGTGTTAAGCACACACACACATTGGGACTATAATATGCGAAACCAACCGCTTTTCACTTCTTCGCAAACACCGCACTGCTCTTTAGCTATTTAAATGCTATTCATAACTCTCGGAGCCCCCGAATATTATGTGAGGGTATAAGAGGGGGTGGGCAAACAAGGCGCTGCTTTTCGCCCTTTCTCTCTTTTTCGGCGGGCAAAAGTTATGAATGATAACAAGAAGAGCAGGCGAGCTCGTTGCGGTGATACCAATCTGCCGCTCTCCTGCCCTGCTGATGTTTGCCGTGGCGTCTTCTTTGTGAGTTGCCAAGAAGAAAGAGTTCGGCTGCGGGAAGCGTCGTGACTCGAGTGCGCAACGACCCCGGAAACACGCACAAAAGTAGCGAGGAGAGGTGCAAAAATAAAATAAAACAATGAGATGCAGATGGGGAGAGAAAAAGTGCATAAAAAAATCAGACTGCGATGCTTGAGAGCAAAATGCAAATTGACAATCTGTGTTGTAGGATTGTTTTGGGTATGCATTGAATTATTCCGTGTTTTAAAAGACAAAATTTTATTAAAATTAGACTGGTTGTGGAAAATTGAATTATTGGTCCGTAAATTTGAGTTACGAAATTTGAAATTCAAATTATAGGGTTCTTCAATATTATAGTCTTCCGTGATTTTAAAATATTCTATATAAAAATTTCAATGTACAGAGCTGGTACAGAGTAAAGAATACAATATGTCTCTCATTGAAATTTATTTTTTCGTTAAGACAACTTGATCTGAACTAATTACTGATAGTTATAAATATTACGATTATTTATTGTTCAACAGCATTTAAAATTTACAATTTAAAGTATTTTAAACTTAATGTACATCTCGACAGTTTGATTTCTGAAGGCGATTCAAATTTTGCAAATAAGATGGTACACAATATATATTTATAACAAATAAAAAAATTAAAACAGATAAATCTAAAATTCAGACAATAAATTTGTAAAATTAATAGTTAAAATTATAAAATATAACAAAAAATTTTTTTATTAATTTTAATTGTTAACTGTTATAACAAAACCTTAATAGTTTAATTATTATTTCTAACCACTGTTATTATTTTTATATTTATTTTAACGTTTAAATAAATAAATTTTTTTTAAATCTATATTTCTGCCAAAACCATTTGATTGAAGTTCTCCCACTGGGAACCCAATCAATGTGCAATATAATTTTATTATTGATTGGCCCGTGTTGAAGTAAAATCTAGCCATTTCACACACACACCACACTCTCTATTTTTGATTAATGAACGCCACGGGCAGTGCTCGCCGTGCTCGCGTCGGAATCAATTTGGCTGATGGCAGCAGCGGCAGCAGTTTTCACACACACACGCGCGCTCGGCATTTTTCGCAAATGAAAATGTTGCAGTCTTTTTCTCTGGACGGCCTTTCTTCCTGCGATTAAAAATCGCCAACCGCCGCCGCAGCACCGTAAGCGAGGCCCACGCCGATTCGCATGCCTGCACGTCTATGGAGAGCGAGGGGTGCGTAAAATTTTACGGTGCAATTTCTGGTGCGACGCACCAACGCAGCACCACTACTCGTATGTACGTATATGACACGACCAAAAGGAATCATAATAACAACACGACGACGCTGCTGGGACGAGAAGGAAAGGAAAACGCGGCGTGCCGAGTGGGCCGTAAAAATATTTGCTGCTGCCAGCGTCCAAATCTTTATGGCTGCGGTGGATTTTGAGCAGAAAGAAAATCTAGGAAAATTTCTGAGGCGAAAAAATAATAATAATATTGCATGTGATAAAATCTCAAAATCGGTGAAGTTAAAAAATAATAATAATTTTGCTTGATATTTTTTTTTTTAACTAATTTAAGTTAAGTTCAGATCTTGGAACTTGAGTTTTTGGAATGAAATATTTACTTATACTGATTTTAACTTCAGACACCATGTGCGTTTTCTTTTGTAAATAGTGGTCATTTGGATATTTTTTTTAATGCTCGTAAATTGATTAGTTTCATTGATTATACTTTAAACTATGTTATTTTGATTTTTTGTTGCTCATGAAATTGATACATTGATAAATTGACAAAAACCGTTTTAGTGGTTTCTTTCAATTAAAGAATTTCTCAACGAGGAAAAGAGCCTGTTTGCAATACTAAAGGATTTTATTTGGTTTCAAAAATAATTTTATATATCCTATCATTTATTCTTATTTATATTTATTTATAAGTATTTCTGCACTTTTCCCTTAGCGCTATTTCCGTGGATCCCCTGCTAAAAATTTCCATTTATTTTCCTAATCTTATTATTATTATTCACAAGATTTCACAATTCCTTTATTCAATATTCTCAATCTCTATAATCCAAGTTTGCTACAGTTTGCAATTTCCAATAAAAGTTCAATATAATTTGGCAAATTTGCTCTCTGGTATAGAATTTGAAGTTGGGAAGTTTCGCTTATTTGGAAATCTGAACAGAACTCGTCCAAAAAGTTATACACAAGGTGGCAAGTTTCAAAGCCGTTCAAAATTGACTTAATGCAGCAACCCTCATCTTGCTCCGACGGATCAATTTTCAATCCATTTGGAGCTTAATTTAATAGTAAATTCTTCAGCCTGAGATTAGCGAGCGCTGAGCTAGTTTCTGTTTGCGTCTTGTGCGAATTTGCTTAACCCCCGCTCATCCGCAGGGTCAAAAGTTTGCTGGCCTTCTCAAGTTCTGTGTGTAATTGGAGTCCGGGCGAATTATTTTCAGTGGGCGAGCAAAAGCAAAAGAGAGACGGCCGTCATTCACCACCAGGAGCACCACCCGCTTTATTGTGTTTATTCAAAT